TGCAGAAGTCTGTTTCTTTATGGTCGCTCCAATATTTCACCTTTTCACTGAGTTTTTAGAAGTTTCATAATTATATTTTTACTGCAAGCATTTTAAAGTCGTCTCTTTTGTGAAATTAGCCTCAGTTTTTCTTACAATTTCCTGATGTCTACTGCTTTTCATATAAAATCTCCCTGAATAAACCACCGGGTGCCAAGGTGGCTGAGTGATGAGGTAACACTCCCAGGCCTCTGTCCGTGCGCCTTCACGCTGGCTCTTTCTCTCTCTCTCTCTCTCTCTCTCTCTCTCTCTCTCTCTCTTCCTTTCTCTCATTTCCACCGGGAGCTCACTGCAGCAGGGGCTGCATCCCCATTGGTTCTTGCATGTTCTCGGCTGAGGGGGTGTCCCCGTGGAGCAGTTTCACATTTCTGTCTGGAAGGGTCTCGGGCTTTCTCTGGTCCAGGTAACAGCTAACGTTGCCTTTCCCACGGGTAATAGGAACGTGGGCTCCATCACCATGAGTGATGTGCTTTCCTCAGGCCCCGTGTGCAGGGTGAGCTCCGTCTCTTCTGCGGTGGGGTCTCTCTCTGCCTCCTCAGGGGTGGGTGGCTGGGGTAATGTTAGTTCCACTCGAGACAGCGCAGCCCCCGGTTGACATGGGTGGGTCACTTCAGCTCTCCACCCTGCTCAGTTCTGAGGGCTTCTTTTTTTAAAATATTTTTTTATTGATTTTGGAGAGAAAGGGAGAGGGGGAGAGAGAGAGAGAAACATCCATGATGAGAGGGAATCATTGATCGGCTGCCTCCTGCACACCCCACACTGAGGACCAAGCCTGCAACCTGGGCCTGTGCCCTGACCGGGAATCGAACTGTGGCCTCCTGGTTCCTGGATTGATGCTCAACCACGGAGCCACGCCGGCCGGGCTGGGGGCTTCCTTTTCTGTTTCTGTGTGGATGTGTCTACGCTTATGACAGGCAGGTACCAGAGCAAGATGCCCCTAACTGCTTTCCAGCTTTCCACTCCCTCTTCACTGGCCATTTTCTTTTCATTCTCGCAAAAATGCCTGCGTGGTGTCTTCCTTTACGCAGCGTCTCCCTAGGCCTGCGGTAGTGGGTGGGTGGCTCAGAATGAGCTGAGTTCTCCCTAGAAGTCGGCATAGAATCTCAAACGTGAATTTGTTTAGATCGTGTCGTGCATACAGCTCTTTGGGAGAAAAATACAGTCACAGACAGAGCAATGCGCAAAGGGGAGGGAGCGGGAGGGCGGGAAGGGGTGCGGGAGGAGGAAGCGGGTTTGGCACGGGGACCTCTCACCTGGCTCCACAGAGGGCTCCCTGCTTGCATTTCAGAACCCTGTTCGGAGCCCTGCACCTGCACCTCGGGGGGGCGCCCGAGGGCCCCGCGGGCACGGGGAAGACGGAAACCACCAAGGACTTGGCCAAGGCGGTGGCCAAGCAGTGCGTCGTGTTCAACTGCTCCGACGGGCTGGACTACCTGGCATTAGGGAAATTCTTCAAGGTTCGCATCGACACCTCATCGTTTCCCTTTACAACATGGTAGCTGCTCGGAGAGGGAGGCTGTTTATTATGGAACACGGTTGGGTGCAAGTAAAAGACATTGTCGGTGAAGTAAAGTTAAGGGTAAAGTACCATCTCGGGGATTCTCAAGAGAAGCGGGGTTATAGGAACGCTTCCCTGGGAAGGAGGCCCGTCCCCCTCGCCAGTCCTGCTCTGATGGCTCAGCATTGCTGATGGGAAGCGGGGTGGGGGGTCGGGAGGTGGGGGGCCAGGCACTGGGCCAGGTGCAGGGCTTGAGAGCTGCTGCGTCGGGCGAAGGCTGTGGGACTCTGCAGACCTCTTACCTGCAGACCTTGTCCTGAAGTTCTGGTTTATATTAGTAAATATGATTGACTCCTGTGGGTGCGTTCTAGTTCATCTGTTTTGTTGAACCTAAAAACCCACGTGGTTGTGTTTCTCCTGGTTCTGATGGGGAAGCCCACCCTTCTGAGGCTGTAAGACTGCAAAAGGGGCTTAAGATGCAAAGTCTCTAAACCCGTGAGCAGCTCGTCATCCCTCAGAATGTTAGCTGGTACAATTGAACACAAAATTCTCCATTTGGGATTATGGGCTCTGTGTTTGTTTTATTTCTATTTTTTTTCCTGTAATTTTCAAAGTGCATTTAAAAAATTCTGTAATCCTTACTTTTCTGAATTTCTCCAGAAGATGTTAACATTTAAAAAATTAATGAAACGAACACAAAAGAATATGCCGATTCTACCCCATACAGTAAACTGCTCCTGACTGAAATATGGCCTGGTCATTTTGGCTGTTAGTCCTTACACAAGGATATTTTTCCACTGAATTTTAGAGAGAGTAGAAGGGAGGGGGAATGACAGAGAGAGAGAGAAACATTGATGTGAGAGAGACACATCAATTGGTTGCCTCCGGTATGCATCCTGACCAGGACACGGATGGAGCCTGCAACCCAGATACGTGCCCTTGAGCAGGAATCGAACCTGGGACCTTAAGTCCAAAGGCCAGTGCTCTATCCACTGAGCTAAACTGGCCAGGACTGTACAAACTTGGAGTATAAAAGTCTCTACATTTGTGATGGTGAAATAATTAGAATAAGAGTTTTTTAAGTCAAAATTATAATGAATAAAATGCCAAGAAAGCATTTGAATGACCAATTACTGTTGTTATCATCCTCTGTAATGATATACAACCTTGTTGTAATGGTTATTTAAGAAAGAAATAGCAAATCTATCTGTTAGATTTGCATACCAGACGGTTGCATATTTCTAAATATTGAAAGAAACATCTGGTATGTGTTACTCAATTTTTTAATCCATATAATGGTATTCTTAATTCTTTAATTTAGATTCATACGTTGAATGGTATTAACGTTGCTGATCAGTAAATATGTATTGATTGTATGGACACTTTGTGTTAGGATTAGCTTATGCTGAACAACGGGCGTACAAAATAAAAAAGACACGGGCGTTGGCATTAAGAACCTCACAGCCCGTATAACTGAATATGTGGCTTCGTTAGCATCCTGTTCTTTGTGATTCTAAGCCTTTCACTATAGCATGTACTAGAGACTGGGTCACGGATAGAATTTTCTAGATAATGAAAATGAACATTCTTTGACATGCAGAGTTCATGTTTCCTCCAGTGTGGCTCAGTAGAGGGAGCCGTGTACACATCCCAGTCCAGCCGCCGCGAGCTGCGCGGACTCATTCTAATCGCTTAACGCCTTGTGTGATGCAGCCTCAGCTTTCTTACAGAAATACGGACGCAAAGTGCCATGCGTCCTCCTGGTGCACACCTGGTTCTCAGTGCAACGCGCCCACATACATACACAGCCTGTGTCGAATGTGCATTCAACAAATATATGTGAAATAAAACTTTTAAAAAATGAATCTGAATTTGGACTGAGCTACTCTGACTTGATTTTCCAGTTTTTCCACCTGAGCGAGGTGGCTGTGAGTTGGGATGGCGAATGAGGGCCGCAAACTGTGCTAGCTGGCCCTTACGGTCCTCAGACCACAGAGCCGTCTCTGGCACCCGCAGGCATCTCATTTAGAGGATTCTCACAGCCCATCCCATAGAGTCCATGTGGAAAAGGCAAACAAAATCCATTAGTAAATAAAGTACGAAAGGCTTTGAAACTAAAGGTGTCCATCTAAATGCTAAAAAATATACAGAAAGTAAACAAAAAATCAATTGGAAAATTTCTCCAATTGATCAAACCCTTTGTTCATGCATAATCATGAATTTGGTAATAAGAAAAGCCATCATTAAAGATAACGGTGAATAGCAATTTCCTTGATCGATATTAAATCCTTGAACAGATGGGGTGAAAATGCAACATTTCAACGCAATGTTTCATCAGATAAAATTGAAAAATTTCATTCCTGTTTTCTCCCAGGGACTGCTATCTTGCGGAGCCTGGGCTTGCTTTGATGAGTTTAACAGAATCGATTTGGAAGTACTTTCTGTGGTGGCTCAACAAATTCTTACCATCCAGAGAGGTAACGGGCTGGTTTGCCGTTGTGTGAGGGGGAAAAAGCGAGGCCACGGGAGGTGAGGAAGGGCACGAGTCACACTCACACGTGGAATCGCTCAGTCATCTCACTCTGATCACCCGCAGGCATTAACGCAGGGGCGGACACACTGGTATTTGAAGGAACGGAACTAAAACTGGACCCCACGTGCGCTGTCTTTATCACCATGAACCCTGGGTACGCCGGGCGCTCGGAGCTGCCAGATAATCTCAAGGTACACAAAGGGCGACTATGTCCCCCATGTCCTTCCTATAATTTACAATCAATACATAAAAAGAAAGAACATGCCATCTTTGAATTTTATGCAAAACGTTTGCTTTTAGATGTCATATTTATCTTTTAGAAAATAATTTTTAAAGCTGTGAGGACCTTTAGAAAATGAATGTGCAAACCAGGAAGAGTTTCCAAAACTTGTATTTAAAATTTGGGGTAATTATAGGAAATTCAGGAAATAATGAAAAGGTACCGATTCTACTGCTTGCTATATTGTATCCTCTGATTTTAAAAGTCTTTCAAATGTTAATTTTAAATGCTGAAATCAGACACTTGTGTATACGGGGTGTTTTTTTTCCCCAAGAGTCTATTATAGCACAAGCATTTTCCTTTCTTTATAAACATAATTCTATGAATTTACTGAACTACATAGCTTACTGTTGGACATTTATGTTGCTTTTAGTTTTCTGGCATAGTAAATAATATTGCAATGGGCAGTTTTTACTTAAGTCTTTTCTCTGTTTTAAAATATTTCCTTAGGGCGAGTCATAGGACAAAGAGCTATGTTGCTAAATTTCCTTCTAACACTGGTTGAAACAATTTACATCCCACAGCAACTCACCATTCTCATTAATTCCCAAGCCCCATTTTTTAAAATTTTTTTTAAAAATAGAAATACACTTTTCCAGTTGAATAGATGAGGATCTTCGCTTTCCCGGTGGCTGCATGTCTAGTGCATAGAGAGCAGTGGTGAGGGAGAATGAGGTGGTAATTGCGGAGCCAAACCCACCTTGCGGCTCTCGAGCCTGTGTTCCTGCCACCCCGACATCAGCGCTTCCTCTCCATGCAGATGAGTCCCAGGCCCTTCCCCACAGCAGGCCGCTTCCCCCAGAGGAACAGCACATAGTTGATACTTTGGCATTCGTGTTAATGAACAATTCACTAAAGATTTAAGTAGGATAGAGATTTGACAACATGAATTGACCAACAAAATAAGACCCGAAGCACGGAGGCACGGAGCAGCCGGCCACACCTCCGTGTGGAGTTGGGGGGACAGGAAGAGAGAAGCCAGAGAACTTACAGACTTACATGCAGAGCCCGTGGGCACGGGCAACAGGGTGGTGAAGACCAGGGGGGAGGGAAATGGGAGACTGTTTTTACCTGTGTAGTGTTTTGGCCTATATGATTTGGACACTGTCATTTCATCATGTTGCTGAAGAGCCATGAGACTGTAACAGCCTGTGAAATGGGGAGTAGGCTCCCCTTCATGATGGCCTTTGTCAAAGCACGTCGCCCTCCACTCCCGCAGGCCCTCTTCCGGACAGTAGCCATGATGGTGCCCGACTATGCCATGATCGCCGAAATAGTCCTGTACTCCTGCGGGTTCGTCACGGCGCGGCCGCTGTCGGTGAAGATCGTGGCTACGTACCGCCTGTGCTCCGAGCAGCTGTCGTCACAGCACCACTATGACTACGGCATGAGGGCCGTGAAGTCGGTGCTCACCGCCGCGGGCAACCTGAAGGTAGGGAGCCGCCTTGACTTCCACTGTCAACTCCCTCCTTGTGAATTTCAGGGCCACGTGTCTCCCCGGAGTTCCAGTGACTAGATGTGTCATCAACTGAAAAACATTAAAGTACTGTACTGAAAAGTTGATCATTTGCCCACGTGAAAAGGGGAATTTTATGATTTGTAAAACTTGAGACATGCAATTCTTAGAGATTTGTGTTCTGTTCCACGATTTTAAATGTAGAAACTAGGTACCACCAAGGAGTTTAATTCTTTGTGGCTGAGAAATATTTTGAAGGCTTTCATGCTACCTAAACATGTATAGCTTTAAAAGAAGTAATATATAATTAATTCACACAAAAGTCCCTGAACATTGTCACTTAATGTAATTACACCATTGCAACTAACTGAAGACTAACAGGAATAGATTTGCAAAATAATGTTTGCATGTTAAAATGGTATGAATCACAAGTATAGATGGAAAACCCAAGTATTTTAGGACGTGGGTAACTTTTCGTTGGTAGCATCTTGTGGAACCATGAAATATGACCGTGCATTAGTTCTTTATGAAAGCAAGCAAGATAGGCTACCGTGCACAGACAAATGCAAGCTGTGCCCGTGGCGTTTATAACATTTCCACATTCATGATTTGTAAAAGATAAAGATTTTAAAAGATATCCTACGTGACTAAGAACAATGGTATGCATTTTTATCTTCTAAAATAATGTTACCGAGAATCCTGATATATAGTGGTGCTATCCTATTTTGCATTATCCTAATATGTCACTGTTTGTGTTTGTTTTTTGCGATAAACAAATGCAACTAGAAGCCACAATTTGTATTAACCTGGCGTGTCATGATCGCACTGTGGTCAGATGATGGGAAAGATAATGCATGTCCTCGGGTATGTCCTGCTGTCATCCTGACCATGGAACGGAGCTCTCAAGGCTCCACAGCAACTGAACCCCATCCTCCCCTGTCCAGAGCTCATGTAGAATCATTGAACGTGTTGCCTTGAATATTTCGAAGTTTGTTTCTGTTACATCAGGAAACGATGTAAACATTTGCTTTAAAATAATACCCTCTCAAATAACAAAATACACTTCTGATGCTTCCTCATCTGTTGTGGTCAGATGGCTCCACAGACAGCGTTCCCGTGAGCGGGACTGGCTGTGGCACTGGGAGCCCTGGAGGTGCAGAGGCCCTGCCCTTGACTGCCAGGCATCACTGGCCTGTTAGGCTCCAGCCGTTAAGGAGGGACATGGGATTTATTAGGCAGGAAGACTCTAAAGAACAGGCAGAGGGTCCTGGGAAATTAAATGCAAGATGATAGGAGAACTTTTGGAGTGGGATGTTGAGCGAAGTATTGACGCTGGGAGAAATAATTCTGTGTTCGGATTTCTGTGAATTATTTGAACCTAATGGGCAGGTTCCAAGTCCAACTGGTAAACTGTGGATTTACTACAGGTGTTCTGGAATTTAACGTAAGTTTTCTGAAATACCCTCTACTTAGGTGACTTGGCACACGAACCAGCCATCTCCCTTCTGTCTGGCACACACTAACACAGGCCTGCACTCAGCTCTCAGCCAGCATGCTGCTCCCTGCCCCATCCCAAACACACACGCACACACTATCTTATCAGACGAGCTGTGTTCATTTACCCAGAGAGAGTTTGCTTGTCCCCCAAACATTCGGAAGCCAGTTGGTACGTTCCTGTTATTATGTCATTGAATTAAATGTCAAGGAAATGGATGATATACCAACGTGAAGAGTTTTGTTTTTATAAAAACCAAGTTCATTGTTCAAGACAGATTCAATAAGATGAAAGGCTAAAAAAAAAACACCCATGAATTTGAATTAGGCATAGAAAGTAAAGTATATAAGGCTGGAAAAAAACAACCTTAAAAATGGATAAGGATGCCGCACTTGGATTGTCTCGCAAGCACCCAAAGAGCTTCGCCTCTTAAAGAAAACAAAGCCTGACACCACAAACCTGGATGGAGCGGATGATGCATCATCGATGTATTTTTTGGAAGAAAATTGGTGCCAAACTCTACACTCACAGAAAAGGCTTTGGCTTCAAAATATGGACAAATACTAGTAACTGAATGTTTATATGTTTCAAATTTAAATGCATCTTTTAGAAATGATTGCCCACTTTTAGTGACTATTTCCACTTAACCAACCCATCGCTGGTCTTGAATGTATAGGACAAGCAAGCTCTTACCCAACACGGAGTCAGTGGCTCCTCTCACACTGTATTGAAGTCATGCCCATAGCTTTTACCTTAGAGCATCTGTGAAGAGGTAGTTAGTTCAACCCAGGTTTTCATGACTAGTAGAGAATTCAACAAGAATAAAGGTCAGTTTCTAAAATTAATAACTATCCAGCTAAATGCAAATGGTTCATAATTGTGCATGGGCTTACATGGCCTCTTGGGCCCGTGTGCTTGTGTACCTGTGTGAAGATGTAGGGGCGCAAGTTAACAAATTCTGGCATCATCATGAGTATATCTTTCTTTCAGCTGAAATATCCACATGAAAATGAAACTTGCCCCACAGAGCACTGGGCCATGTGCTCATCCAATGGCCGAGGGGGCAACTCCCTGGGGAACCTCCTCTTCAGAAAGCAATGGTCTGGCCAGAGAAACACAGGTCATTCCGCGTGTGTGTGAAGGGTGTTTAGCTAACTTTGTTGCTTCAGATGACTTTTAACAACTTGGGATTTTAAAAGAGTACTTTTATGAAACCACACAGTGTAATGAGCACACACAAGCTACAAGATGTGTTGGCTTATAAATGACACTAGAATGTAGGGTCTGTGAAGGGAAGTCATCGGTCTAACACAGCTCCGACCCCCTTCACAAAACAGGGACTGGGTAATTGTTGCTAAACTAGTGATTGAGGGAATAAAAAACAAATACATAAATAAGCTTAATTTCTTTGAAAGCATGCCATTGCTTTTATGAAATTGTTTTTTTCAGGGTGATTTAAGATAAGAGCTAAGCTTGTTAATCCTGTTCTATTTTAAAGATTAGATTATGAATAATTGAGAAGGATTAGAGCGATGGTTGCAGTTTCCAGACTATAATTCCATTCCATGCGTTTCCTTTTCCCCATCTCCCATAGAGGAGATCAGGGAGGGGGCACGGGCTTCTGAGAGGAGCTGCTGCAGGATGGTGTCGCCTGGAAGGGCAGGCAGTTAGCTCCGGGGAGTGAGGACCGAAGTTGTCTGACTGTCACGAGTGGGGAAGGAAGGGCACTGCCCGGCAGCCAGGGCCGGTGTTGTCAGTGACCCACAGCGACCCTGTGCCTCGTTCTGAAAGGGGCTGCCCTTAGGCGTAGAGCTGGCCGTGTAGACATCTTATAGAACAGAGCGACATTAGGAGGCACACATTTCCTTCCTAAAGCTTTCCTCCCGTGTCTTTGGTCCTAGCACACTGACCAGGTTTCCCAGGAGTAAGAGCCATACTCATTGTCATTCAGCGGAAATGTACCTCGCTAGGGTGTTCTCACACGGTTGTCTATTCATCCGGTGAGCACTGAGCACTGGCCCACAGGTAGAGCACAATCGGCATTTCCAACCAGGACAACCCCTTGAGAATTCATCATCTCTGCCAGCCCCAGCCCCAGCCCCAGTGTCCACAGGCCGCTCCCATGGTGAGAACCAGAAGGACGCGTCTACATGTTTCCAGCTCTCCCTGGTGTGAGAACCACTGAACACCAAATATGTTCTGGAGAGATCTGCTCCTTTTAAGCTTAACCTTGAGCAATTTGAGTTTTTTGGGTTTTTTTGTTAGAAAACACTACGTACTTATCATGGACCCATCCTATTCTAAGAGCTCTGCAGCTAGGATTTCCTGAGTACTCACAGTGAGCCAGCGAGGCGGGCGCTCTCATCACCCTGCCTCACAGATGGTGTGCACAGCACAGAGGTGCCCAGCAACTTGAGTTGATGGCCAGTCGCGGGGGAGCGGGGTTCCAACCGCACAGTCAGGCGGGGAGTGCTCTCACTGCTCTGCTGTACGGCCTTCCTCTTCTCTGCCTGAAGGAGACTCCATGCCTTGATGAACTGGGATTCGTTTCAACATAACAGCATTAACACAGTTCAACTCAGGAGCAATTACACTTGAAATTTGTAAATTCTGAAGTACAGCTCAGCTGTATGCTTGCAGATAAAGCTCTTCTGAATTTTCACCTTACCTTCAGAGTCCAAGAAACAGTCCTATTTCTCACACAGGAGGCCGTGGTACCTACAGCCTCAGCAGTTTATAAAGGAATATTTCTGAGAGTTTGCAGTTAACGCTCCATATTCGTGAACATTAACGGTGGAATTACAATTCTTTCCAATCATACATTATATGGTTGTATTTGTTTCTTAAAGCCGCCATGACCAAGTACCACAAATGTGGTGCCTTAAGACAACACACATTTGTCCTCTCACAGCCTGAAGCCGGGGTGTTTCCCTCCAAAGGCTCTGGGAAGGGCCGTTACCAGGAGTGAAAGCCATGCTCATGGTCACAAGGCAGCACACACCTCGCTAGACGCATTCCCAGGCAGCTGTGTGCTCTCAGAGCCTGCGCTGCTGGCAGTTGTTGGCATGGCTTCGCTTGGCACCACTTCAGACTCAGCCTTCATCGCAGCGGAGCCTTCTTCCCTGGGGTCTTTGTGTCTGAATCTTTCTCTCCTTTATGTGGTGCAGACAACAGTCATTGGATTTCGGGCCCAGGATGACCTCGTCTAACTTAAGTTACATCTGCAAAGATCCTCTTCCCAAATAAGGTCACCTTCTGAGGGTCCATGTGAACATGAAGGGCCACCAGCTAGTGAGAATACTCCCCACTTCAATGAGTGAAATGCCTCTTGTGTGGGTGGCATGAGATAGGGGCTAAAGTTCATTGTTTTGGCAAATCCAGGTATTCTGGCATCACTTGTTGGAGACGAGCTTGTCTCTGATCTGTGGATTTGCCTTCATGCCCTTGTTGAGAATGAGTTGTTCACGGCTATAGGCTCCCTATTCTGTTCCCTTGATGTATTTGTCCGCCTTTATGCCAATATGACAGTCTTTACAATGAACCTTAAAATTTGATCGTGTTCATTGTCTAACTTTTTGACTTAAACATGCTGTAAATGGGAGAAATCCCTTGTGACACTGGCTTAGGCAAAAATGTCTTAAACACAACACCAAAAGCACAAGACATAAAATAGTACATTGATAACATAGACTCATCAAAATTAAAAAGTTTATTCTTTGAATGATACTGGTAAAAGAATGAAAGACAAGTTACAGACTAGGAAAAATATTTGCAAATTAGGCATATGATGGAGGACTTGTATGCATACTATATATATGTGTGTATATATATAATATGTAAAATATATAAAATATATATATATTTTAATGCTTACCTGAGGATATTTTTCCATTGACTTTTGGAGAGAGGGAAAGACAGAAAGAAATATTGATGTGAGAAAAATACATCGATTGGTTGCCTCCTGCATGAGCCCTGACCAGGGTCCAGGCCGGGGAGGAGGCTGCAACCGAGGTACGTGCCCTTGATCAGAATCAAACCTGGGACCCTTTGGTCGCAGGTCGACGCTCTATCCACTGAGTCAAACCGGCTAGGGCTTGTATGCATAATATTTAAAGAATGCTTAGAAGTTACCATTGAGAAAATAAACTGATTAAAAATAGCAAAAGATTTAAACAGGCACTTTACTGAAGAAAAATATACCTACAGCAAATAAGCACATGCAAGAATGTCAATCATTGGGAAATACAAATTGAAGCCAAACAAGATACCATCACACACCTATTTCTATGTCTCAGTTTAAAAGGACTGCTCAGACCGTATACTGGAACCCCTATACACTCCGAGGAAATATAAAATAATATAACTACTTTGGAAAGCAGGCCATTTCTTAACATGTTAAACACACATGCCCTGTACTATCCAGGTATTCCACGTCTCAGTATTCACCCAAGAGAAATGAAAGCATTTGTTCATAAAAAAGACTTCTACCCCAATGTCCACAGCAGCTTTATTTGTAATAACTCCAAACTGGAAACAGTGAAAATGTCAATCAATAGGGGAACGGATTTAAAAGCTGGGTCACTTCAATGCAGGGGACTACTTCAGGACACAGACTCTTGACACGTGCTGAGACCTGTGAATTCCCCAGCCTTCATGCCAGGTGAAAGAAACCAGACAATCAAGTCTAGCACCTACTATGTAATTTATCTATATTAAATCTAAACAATGCAAATACAAATAGCTACAGAAGGCAAATCACTGGTCACCCGGGGATGGAGGTAGGAGGCAGTAAGGAGAGAAGGGAAGGGGGATTACAAAAGGTGACAGGCAGCTTTGGGAGTGACAGATGTGTGGTTATCTGGATGGAATTTATTGTTCCACTTACCAAATTGTACACTTAAAAGATATACAACTTATTGTATGTCGACCATATCTCTAGAAAACTGTTAAAATACTGTTGAACTATTATTTAATGACTTTATTTCCATCAATATTAAATGTGAGGATGAGAGGAGTTGTATCCTGTTTATGTGTGGATATACCTGTGTGAAAGTATGTGTGTGTATATGTGTATGTGTATACATATATGTGTATATATATATGTATAGATAGATAGCGAATGTATGAATATGTAATATGAATCCCCAAATCATCTATCACCAGGGCATCACTTCGGATTTGTTTCCTGGGGTGAAGTTGCCAAAGCCAGATTACAACGACTTGCTGATGGCCATCAAAGACAACTGCGAGGCCATGAACTTGCAAATGACCAGTTTCTTTTCCGAGAAGATCCTCCAGATATATGAAATGATGATTGTGCGCCACGGCTTCATGATTGTCGGAGAGCCGTTTGGAGGGAAGACCAGTGCCTATCGCGTCTTAGCTGGAGCCCTAAGTGATATCTGTGAAAAGGTCAGTGTGTGATAAGTGCATTCTTTTATTATAACCAAGATAGAATCTCTCAGGTCATTTTACAAGACACTCCAAGGTAGCAACTTGACATCATGCGAAACATGAGTCGGAGAGGAAACAGGAGTGGAGAGGTTCTAGGGAGCAAACGGGAGCTCAGCAGATAAAGGCGATGCCACCTGTTTTCCTCTCAACCTTTTACTTCTGTTTTTAAAATGTTTAATTATAAAGGTAGCACGTGGCCATTGCAATAAAAAGTCTGGAAACATGAAAAATCTGATGGTTTTGTTTTCATGCTTTTAGGAGAGTATTTTTTATTTTCTGGGTGGTTATAATTGAAATGCAAACTTCTAATACTGGCTGGTTGTGGTATTGAATTTGAAATGTGTATGGTTTCTTGAGTGTATTATATGGTATATGTGCATGTATATCAATAATAATAAAAGCATAATTGCTAATTAGACCGGACAGCCGAACGACCTTCCGGACATCATCCCAGATGTCCTTCTGGACGAAGCTTAGTGGCAGGGGCCGAGGCAGAGGCGGTTAGGGGTGCTCAGGCAGGCAGGCAGGGTGGTTAGGGCGATCAGGCAGGCATGCAGAAGGGTGAGGGGTGATCAGGCAGGCAATCAGGCGAGTGGTTAAGAGCCAGCGGTCCCAGATTGTGAGAGGGATGTCCGACTGCCAGTTTAGGCCCCATCCCGCATCAGGCCTAAACCAGCAGTTGGACATCCCCAGAGGGGTCCCAGATTGCGAGAGGGTGCAGGTCGGGCTGAGGGACATCCCCCCCCCCCACCCAGCCAATGCACGAATTTTGTACACTGGGTCTCTAATATATGACAATGAGTATATTATTCAAACTTTCTGTCCTATACCTTGCAGTTGGGCCCACTTTGATATATTAGAGGAATGAGGCTGTTTTAAACTCTCCGACTAATATTGCATTTCCGGCTACTGTGTTTTGAATAGTTTTTGCTTCAAATATTTCGGTGTTCATGGCCTGTGTGGGATTTGTTATCATTATCTGCTCACTCTCCCCTTCAACCAACATAAAGTGATGTCTTGTCTGTTACTTGCCTTGTATCCCCCGATCTAAGGGCAATCCCACAGCCCACATTTTCTCCCGGCCTATGTGCTTGCCCATGTCTTTCACTGTCACTGGGTGTCACTGTGAGTTACTTTTTATGGAGAGTAAATAGTTTGATTTTTATTTTCCCCAGGTTGATGCTCTTTATCTTTTCATGGGGAGATTTAAGTTCATTTCTATTTATTACAGAAACTGAGATGCTAGTTATTTCTGTCATCTGTTGCCCTTGCTATACACAGTTATGTTTTCTATAAAGACACTACTCTGCAAAACGTAAATAAATACATTGACTGATTTCCCCCCTAAGGGCTTAATGGAAGAAAACAAGGTTCAAATCACTGTCCTGAACCCTAAGTCTGTCACCATGGGCCAGCTGTACGGGCAGTTCGACCAGGTGTCACACGAGTGGTCCGACGGGGTCCTTGCTGTCAGTTTCAGGGCCTTCGCCTCTTCGATGGTAAGTGCTCGCACTTTGGCACGGTTAGGAATCCGTGCTGTCTCCTTCTTACAGATTTCTGACCCTCTCGGAGGCCTCAGACACTCACACTTAGAGCCCAAGACATTCATTTAGCACAGAGCCTGCGGCGTTTCTGTAAGGACCTCCTCCGCATCCCGGCCGGGCCAGGGACCTTGCTGGCCAGCGCCTCTGCCCGGTGTGCGCAGAGCGGCCAGGAGGAGAGAGGACGGGGAGGGAACCTCTGGTTTTCCTTTGTTGGGCCAGATGGTCCAGGACAGAGAGCCCCGGATCACAGGACCCTGCTGCTCCCTCGGGATGCTCCTCCCGGGCTGCCGCAGGGCAGCGCACTGGCACCCCCACTGGCTGTGGGATGCACGTCAGTGCTTAGAGGAGAAAGTGCAGGCCGCTGATGTGGCAGAGTTCCAACACTGTCCCTCCCGCGTGTGACGAAGACACCGGGCATGTGCCAGCTGCGGCTGCTGTGTCTGGGGCGGGCATACCTACCCCTGCCTCCTTCTGCCCGGTCTGCTGAGTGGCTGGTGCCGCTGTTGCAGAGAGCTCACAGACCAGTCAATGGTTGCGTGGCTGCCATATGCCACCAGGTTTTCACAGAGTGTGATCGCGTGGGAGACAGCTGGCCAGGGCTGGTCGTGAAGAAGAAGGGCCCGGGCTAGAGGCCTTTATTTCAACAATCAGTCCACTGAGTGCTTCCTGTCTGCTGATGACGTGCACACTAAATGGGAGCTCTTTGTCCACCGGGAGACCCGGCCGATCCTGACTCACGAGTCAGTGTTGTAACAGAGCAACCCGAATCTCAGCGCTGCTCTTGTTGCCTGAGGGCCTGGGGCGATGAGTAGCACACTAGCAGCTGACCCAAAGGCCCCGGCTGATGAGCAGGGAAGCCCCATTAAAAATGAGGTCCTTTACGCCCAGCCGGTGCGGCTCAGGGGTTGAGCTTCAGCCCAGGAACCAAGAGGTCACGGGTTCGATTCCTGGTCAGGGCACATGCCTGGGTTGCGGGCTTGATCCCCAGTAGAGGGCATGCGTGGGAGAGGCAGCCGTTCAACGCGAGTTCTCTAACATCGATCTTTCTATCTCTCTATCCCTCTCCTTTCCTCTCTCTCTAAAAATCAATAAAAACATATATATAGTAGAGGCCCAGTGCATGAATTTGTGCACGGGTGCGGTCCCTTGGCCTGGCGGCGGGGAGGAACCTCAGGAGGTTGGCCCGCTGTGGGAGCACATTGACCACGAGGGGCAGCTGCCCCCTGGTGGTCAATGTGCATCATAGCTACCTGCTAGTCATCTAGTTGTCTGGTCGTAATGGTCAGTTAGGCTTTTAGATAGATAGATAGATAGAGATATATAGATATATAGAGACTAATGTCCTGTGCCACCACGAGGTGGTTCAGCCTGCGAGGGTGTGTGCTGTATGTGTGTGGAGGGAACACAGAATTGGACTTAGCACACAGGGGCAGTAACCCGCGTGAACACAGCACTGCACAGGGTCAGACACTCCAAACGGAAATGCAGTCTGCCCCCGCAGTTATGTTGTTAGCGTATCATACTCTCTGAAACATGTTATATATGAATTCAGAAACATTGAAAAAGATGGAATCTTAAGAAAAGATGCTATATTGTGTCTTGCCCATGACATATGCAGTGTGAGGAAAAACTAGGTTTATAGTTGCGAATACGCAAAACACAGATTTATTATTATTTATTTATTATTGTATTATTTTTCATACAAACAACTGTAAACCCCCCTCTCTATAGGCCTCCAGTTTCTCTCTCTCTCTCTCTCTCTCTCTCTCTCTCTCTCCCCTACATGTTCTTTATTATATATACTTTAGTCACATATGTACTTTATTCAAAAGGTGCCTTTACATTTCTGTTGTTAGCGTATCATACTCTCTGAAACATGTTGTATATGAATTCAGAAACATTGAAAAAGATGTACTTTATTCAAAAGGTGCCTTTACATTTAATGGTGAAATTAATCTTAAGAGAGCTACATTTTATTTTGAAATATTATTGAACCATCTCCTCACATTATCATCATCATCACATTTTTGCCCCGCATCCGCCGTGTGCGTAACCCAGACACCAGACAGGAAGTGGCTGATCTTCGACGGCCCGGTGGATGCCGTGTGGATCGAGAACATGAACACTGTGCTGGATGACAACAAAAAGCTGTGTCTGATGAGCGGGGAGATTATTCAGATGTCACCGCAAATGAACCTTATTTTTGAGCCGATGGATTTGGAAGTTGCTTCTCCTGCCACCGTAAGTGCTCAGTCTGGACATCTGCTTGTGTGTCTGGAATGCTGTCTGTTGCTTCTATGCTCGAGGCCAGGGGTGGGCAAACTTTTTGACTTGAGGGCCACAATGGGTTCTTAAACTGGACCAGAGGGCCGGAACAAAAGCATGGATGGAGTGTTTGTGTGAACTAATATAAATTCAAAGTAAACATCATTACATAAAAGGGTACGGTCTTTTATTTCAATAGTTTTATTCATTTCAAATGGGCCGGATCCGGCCCGTGGGCCGTAGTTTGCCCACGGCTGCTCTAGGCCAATGATGGCGAACCTATGACATGCGCGTCAGAGGTGACACGCGAACTCATTTTTTTGGTTGATTTTTCTTTGGTAAATGGCATTTAAATATATAAAATAAATATCAAAAATATAAGTCTTTGTTTTACTATGGTTGCAAAGATCAAAAAATTTCTGTATGTGACACGGCACCAGCATTAAGTTAGGGTTTTTCAAAACGCTGGCATGCCGAGCTCAAAAGGTTCGCCGTCACTGCTCTAGGTGCTTCCATTGCTGAATCACTTTGGCTTTGAATGAAAAATACTCGTCACCTTCATTTTGAAAGAATCTGTGATTCTCCGGAGCAGACGGACCTGTTGACGTACCTTGACAAATTTGAGTCTGGCTGGTTGTTTTGGGGTTTTTTTTCCTCTTTGTCTGTGACCATTTGGTCAAGTAGGACAAACATTTAGATCATGAAAGTGAATAAAATTCAGCTTTTTTCCCCTCCAGAGGTTGTGAGGAACAGTTGGACCGAGCCCCATTTTTGTAGGCGTTGCCTGGATGCTAAGCCGTGGTTGCTCTTGCAGGTTTCCAGGTGTGGGATGATTTACATGGAGCCTCACATGTTAGGCTGGAGGCCCCTGATGTTGTCCTGGGTAAACCTCCTGCCTGCGACGCTCAATGCCACGCAGAAGGAATTCCTAGTGACCTTGTTTGACAGAATGGTCCCTGTGTCTGTCGAGTTTATCAGGAAGCACACCAAGGTAAGAGGGGTGGGGATTTCAAGACTTAAAGAATAAGTAGAAAATCCAAATTGTCCACTTGAATGTCTGCTTGTATGGTCAACTACTAGATATTAAAATAATTTATTCATGGCTTTGACTAAAGCCTTTTTGCTCATTCAAGTAAAAAAAATTTTATTCTTATACTTATTCGATCAAAAATAGTTTGAGTGAAGCATCTCAGGGTTTGAGAAAATGTATGGGTGCTAATCTTTTCTCTCTTAAAAAGAATCTCAAAGGCATACCTAACCACATCTGGGTGAAAATGCTCTAAAATGTTGTCTAATTTCTAAAGGACTATTATATTTTAAGTAGTCTTAAAATGGTTTTTTTTCTACTAAGCTTTTTAGCAAATTAATTGCCTTCTCTGAAAGAATTTTTAATGTTTTGGGTATAAAATTGGAATCTATGTCTTTGATTAAGTTAACTAAGCATGGGACAGTGAATTTTTAAACTTGGGATTCAGGGGTTAAAGTACAAATGCTACCCCGATGTGGTACCCACAGCTGCCACTCTAGACTAGGGAATCAATGTGTGCCTCAGTTTCCCTGCCTATAAAACTAGAATTATCATGATAGGACCTTTTCGTAAGTACTATGGCTGTTAGAACTAAATGAGTCCAATAAATATTAGCTGGGACTATCTTAAGTAGTGCCTAGTTTCAATTAATTTGCTTTATAGACTTTTTTTGCTGATTTTTTAGGAATTATCTCCTACTTCAGATACAAACTTAGTCCGATCCTTAATGAATCTAATAGACTGTTTTATGGATGAATTTGCCGATGAAGTGAAAGTGAGAGAGAGAAATGATCGCGAGGCTTACTCCTTACTCGAGGTAAGGCCCCTTGCCGGTGGTCATGTGATGGACAGCCATCGAATGCTTTCCCCGGTGCTTCCGAACTCATGAAACTCAACTTCCCCCGGGGTTGGGGCTGGACAGTGTGCGGTCGCTGAGCAGTGAGAAAGAAGCCAGGCCCCAACAGCAGGTGCTGGTAGGGGAAGGCCTGGCCTGGCAGCTCTGGTGCAGCAGGAGGTTTGGGTGGAGCCCAGCGATATTCTTAGATCCATTACTTGAAATCTAGACCCACATGGTCAGCCTCAGAGGTTACCATTCTCCAAAATGCCAGGCACCATTTGGCCAGGAGAGCCGCCTCTCTTTCAACTGCCAGATCATAGCAGTTCATTGTTTTCCTCCTCCTCAATTTTCTTTTTTTTTGTGAGCTATAAATGTTTAAAATATGTATGTGTGCATATGTGTGGATACATATATATTTGGAGTGAGAAAAACAAGACAATATATCATCTGTAAGCACATATGTAAAATAGAAATAAAGTTATCAACAGACCTTGAATATTCTCTGATAAAAATTCTACATTGCTGATAGTAGCACTTGTCGTGTAGTCAATATGTTACTCTTATTGCATATATTTTGTGAAATAAATTGTTAATTTGGTTTCAACTAGTTTCCAGAGAGAAACAGTCGGTGAGTAATCTAGTAACAGGTGAACAGTGTCGAAAGTGGAGTCCATAGCTTTTGTAAGCAGGGGCAAGGCTGTGTTCGCATTGGCAGTAAAAAGGGGATTTGATTTAGAAACAAGCAAACAGGTTTTCTTATTTCACGGTTGGCCTTGCCATCGACCGTGTTCTGTCTGCCTGAGTCCGGTGAGAAGAAAGCTTGCTGGATGGCAGTTCTAGTTAGGCAGCCAGTGCTCTGATAATTATTACAACCGACAAGCAAAAGAACATGAATTCATTCTACTTTAAAAAATAACACCGTATCTGCCCTAACTGGTTTGGCTCAGTGGATAGAGCATCGACCTGCGGACTCAAGGGTCCCAGGTTTGATTCTGGTCAAGGGCAGGTACCTTGGTTGCAGGCACATCCCCAGTGGGGAGTGTGCAGGAGGCAGCTGATCGATGTTTCTTGCTCATCGATGTTTCTAACTCTATTTCTCTCCCTTCCTCTCTGTAAAAAACAAAAAAAAAAAAAAAAAAAACAACAAAAAATCAATAAAATATATTAAAAAAATAACACTGTATCAAAATTTAAATTTAAAAACTATGTATATTATGGGCTGATTATTCCTTATTAAAATACTCTTATATTTATAAAAGTTACCTCAATATTCTTTTTAATATCAAGGTCCTGTATATACTTAAAATATCATGTGATTTTCCAGAATAGTCATTCTAAGTTTTCACTCTGGCTAGAAATTACACTTTGCATTGTATTGTCTCCTCTGATAGGAAGATTTTTTATAAAACATGCAGTTTCATTAAAAAAAACACTAATTATTACAAAATCTTGAGATAACCTACTCTTGTCTATCAGTTTATTAATTTCCTTTCACAGCTATTAATCAGCTAATCTGATTCAAGCTTCACGGACAGATTGCAGCCATTCTTTAATGCACTCCGTCTTTTCACCTCTCCAATGCAGGGCATTTTTCTCTTTTCGTTGATATGGTCCATCGGTGCTTCTTGTACAGATGATGATCGGTTAAAATTTAATAAGATTCTTCGAGAACTAATGGAGGGTCCAATTTCAGACATAACTCGCAATAGGTTTAAAATACTGAGCGGCGCTGAACAAACGACTTCAAAAGCACTCACCGTCCCATTTCCTGAAAAAAAAACCATTTATGATTATCAGTTTGTCACTGAGGTAAGAGTTCTGAAGTAGGATGTGCAAGTACCAACCTGGCACCGTCCCCTAGGAGACACACGGCACGAAATGGCTTTGTGACCACCCTGGCACCCGTTTACCGTAAGAGAGCATGGAGTGAGGAAGGTGCCCTGGCCTGTGAAGGTCAGACACTCTGGGTTTGAGTCCTAATAAAACCCTTTTCTTTCTGGATGGCCTTGGACTAGGTATCCAATCTCCTTGAACCTTGTTTTTCTTATTAATAAAATGGAATCCTATATAATAAAAGGCTAATATGCAAATCGACCAAACGGTGGAGCAACCAGTCGCTATGACACACACTGACCACCAGGGGCAGATGCTCAATGCAGGAGCTGCCCCCTGGTGGTCAGTGTGCTCCCACAGCGGGAGTGCTGCTTAGCCAGAAGCCCTGAGCTGGGCTGATGGCTGGCGAGCACAGCAGCAGTGGTGGCAGGAGCACTAAGCCTCCGCAGCAGCACTAAGGATGTCTGACTGCAGGCAGTCGGACATCCCCCGAGGACTCCCAGACTGCGAGAGGACAGACTGGGCTGAGAGACCCCGGCGAGTGCATGAATTTCATGCACCGGGCCTCTAGTAAATAGTAATACCCAATGGGCAGATCGTACTCACTGGGTGAAATAACATATTATGACATGGGCTCCAGCACCGGGGGCTTCCCGGTCAAGGACACTTCGTGGAGGTTCCTGCTGCAGTTGGCATTTCCCAGGAGCTCAGAGGTCCTGCAGGAGTGAGCGCAGCTGGGTTAGGAGTACTCACTGAGCATTTCCGCACAGATTGTGCAGTCTCACCTGGCTGGTGTTTGTGTACTTGTTTGTTTTTGTGTAACAGCTCCCATAGTACTGTCTTGAGGACAAAGTTTAGGAATACATATTATTGAAATATATACAGATCCAAGTGGAGTTGGGCCCACACTGTATCCCCAATGGATAATTTTATATCCTTCTTTTTCCCTTAAAAATGAGAACAGCCAGGCCACAATAGCTCAGTGGTTGAGCATCAACCTATGAACCAGGAGGTCATGGTTCTAGTCCCGGTCAGGACACACGCCCAGATTGCGGGCTCGATCCCCAGTAGGGGGTGTGCATGAGGCAGCCAATCAATGATTCTCTCTCATTATTGATGTTTTTATCGCTCTCTCCCTCTCTCTTCCTCTCTGAAATCAATAACAATATATTTTTAAAAAGTATTTATAACATAAGATTCCCTGTTTGGCTGTTTATTATAAACAGGGAATAGGAAGATGGGACCCATGGATAAAGAAATTGGCAGACGCCCCTCCAATTCCTAAAGATATGATGTTTAATGAAATCATTGTACCAACTCTGGACACGATTCGCTACTCGGCATTAATGGAATTGTTAACCACCCATCAAAAGCCATCAATATTTGTAGGACCCACAGGAACGGGGAAGAGTTCTTACATTATTGTAAGCATTGTAGAAATTTTAATATTGAAATGTGCATGGTATTCCTAAGAATTTTTTAAAGCCACATGAAATAGTAGAGTTAATATTTTTAAATACTCGAATATTTTGATGTTGGAGCCACAAATGATTTTTGTGTAATTGCCTATTTATTTTAGAAAATTGATTTATTTTAGAAAAATATATGATGCCATTTTATATCACTATATTACTGTCCCTTTTTAGGTATTTTAATAAAAATAGCTTGTCCAGGATAAAGAATTTTATATCTCTTGAAAAGGTGTTTTAGTTAATTATACTTGATATTTAACTTTATCAGTTAGTATCTGAATGGTTACTGTGTAGTAATAAGTAATGTAGTAATTTTACTAAAAAGTTTTAGTGATTTTTAGCAATTTAGTAATGTAGTGATTTTTCTTAATGATTTCTGGAGTCATACCCACTGTGTGTCAGTTAAGAAATGCTAGCTGTGGTGACAGATGCAGCCCCAAATCTCAGCTGCTTTATGCATCCTGTTTAGGGTGTTTCTTGAGGTTAGGAGGTCATATTGATCAAAGACCAGTTCTTGTCTCTAGTTTCAGGTTTCTGAGGATAAAAGGCTGGAATTTGTCAATAACCCCCAGCCTTTTGCAAGGCAAGTCCAAGTTTCCCAGGGGCAGCTGGGCAATGTGAGAGATAAGAGGGTCTAAGTCTTCTGGACCTCCATGACTGCATTCTAGATGATTCCATTCCAGATGGCTCCATTCTAGATGACTGCATTCTAGACGATTCCATTCCAGATGGCTCCATTCTAGATGACTGCATTCTAGACGATTCCATTCCAGAGGGCTCCATTCTAGATGACTGCATTCTAGATGATTCCATTCCAGATGGCTCCATTCTAGATGACTGCCTCAGCAGCAGGGACCATTTGTCCCCTGTGTCAGAGACCTGTGCCGGGCAGGTGTCCCTTTGGAGTATCTGAAGGACCTGCCTGTCTGCTCCTCTCAGAGGGAAGCTACCATGGAAGCCTGCATGGTAGCAGGCAAGAACGCACCAGCTGAGAGAGCACCACCTTAGAGCCAGCGAAGTAGGACTTTGGTTCCTCTGCCTGTGTTCTGCTGCCTCCCAAAGCCGATGTGTGAGAGAGGAAGGAAACCGGGCAGCAGGTGGAGGGGAGCAAGGAGCCATCAGCAGTCGCTCCCACTGCAGGCTCCCTGTCAATTCACACTCCCCCAGATGACAACAGTACCTGTTTTTCCTCCTTTGTTTTAATTTCATTATTCAATCCTTTTGGAATACATTGGGGCATATAGTTAAGCAATTGTCCTGGTATCATCTATATTTATAAAAGCCTAATATGCAAGTTGTCCCCTCAGGAGTTCAATGGGGAGACCGGGAGTTTGATTGCTTGCTGTGATATGTGCTGACCACCAGGGGGCAGCGCAGAATGAAGGAAGGCCCCAGCTGGCAGCTGGCAGCCAGGGAAGGGAGGCCCTGGCCAGCAGTCAGAAGGCCCCCATAGGCCCGGATCGCTGGCCAGGCCTAGGAACCCTAACAGAGCACATATTTCATGCCCCGGGCTTCTAGTTTATTAAATAATGTCTTTCCCACAGATTGAAATGGCACCTGTATTACAATCTAAATGTTGTCTATACAAGGGAATATCCAAAAGCAGAGAGGGGAGAAGTTTAGGCTGAGATTTTAAATCATGGTGTTGGTTTGGCCTGCACTTAAAAGAAATGACTGAGATATCAGTTATTTACCTAAGCTATCATCAAGAGTCAGGGAATGGAGACTTGACGTGGTGAATGGAAAAAAACAAAGCCCTTTGTCATTTGTACCCCCATCGAATTCAGTCCCAGCAAAAACAACATTGCTTTTCACAAAACTGAAAACATACTTTGCATCTTATTTCATAATCTGCATTTTTCTACCTAATGTATTATAAATATTTCCCTACTTTATTCTTCTTCTACAAGATGATCTGTAGAACACAATATCTTGATTAGCAATCATGGTAATTGCACCCACTTTCCAGTGAATTCCATTTCAAAAATACAATTGTCTTATCTACGCTTCCTCACTTACAATCAGATAACTTGGTATTTAAGTGGAAAGATAATACGCTATGTTACAAGGAACATTGATCCAGAGAGCTACAGATGGCAGTCTAAGGTCCTGCCCTGTCCCTGAGACCTTACAAGTTTCTTAACCTCTCAGTTCCCGTGGCTCCACATTGAGTTAGGATGTGTAATCTACATGGTGGTTCTGGACATCAGAGAAACCGAATGCATGGGGCCTGGACAAACAGAGACGCACATTGACATGGCAACTGTTCTTTCTATTGATTTCCTGTCCTTGTGCATGGCTAAGATCCTCTCTTGTTGCATGATATATATTTCGTTTATTTTAAAATGCCAAAACGCCATTCCAACTATGGTTCATTTTATTATTTTCTATTTTATAGAACTTTCTTTTAACTCAAATCAATAAAGAAATCTACAAGCCTCTGCTAATTAACTTCTCAGCACAAACTACAGCAGCTCAAACTCAGAACATCATCATGTCAAAGCTGGACAAAAGAAGAAAGGGAGTGTTTGGTCCTCCTCTGGGCAAGAAAATGGTAATCGCTCCGTTTCTGTACACATGACCCGACATGTGTCCTAGTCATGCATGCTGCTCCACTCAGAACACGAAACCACGTGTGCTGGGGCATGGCACCTTTTTGTACAGTTTTTACAATATAGACATTTTTATTGATTTCAGAGAGGAAGGGAGAGGGAAGAGAGATAGAAACATTAATGATGAGAGAGAATCATTGACCAACTGCCTCCTGCACGCCCCACACTGGGGATGGAGCCCACAATCCAGGCATATGCCCTGACCGAGAATCGAACCATAACCTCCTGGTTCATAGGTTGATGCTCAACCACTGAGCCACGCTGGCTGAGCTACAGTTTTCGTGTTCTTCTTTTTTTCTCACAAATTTTGTTTAAGAAATTTCCTTAAAAGTGTGTTCATAGTTGTATGTGCATTGTGGGTGAGACAGCGTGACATTAAAAGCAAGCAGCTGCCCTTTAAATTAAAAGTAGACTATTCATCTGGGAAATGATCTACCTTCCCAATTCTCTCATTAACATTTTTACTTCACAGAGTCTTGCTGCTTGCTTTTCTAGACCCATAGGCATCCCAGTTATCAATTGACCTACCTGTGTTCCCTGACCAAGAACACCGTCCCAACTGCACTCTCCCCACCCCAGGTTATTCTCAGTTTACAAGCACACCTTTCTTGTTCATGTTAATGCATTGAAGTTGTAGCAGGGAAAAGGAGAAGGTGTATTGAGAAACAAATTGGAGGAGAGGATTAGTAAGGCCTAAACTCTTAACCTGCAAGGTTAGTGAGAAAACTGTCCCTCTGTTCCTTGGGAGCATGGATGCCAAGGGGTATAATATTTGATTGGAAAAGAAACCATCACTTCCATACCCGTGCTCTACAAAGTGACGATCCGATTCTTTGCCTCAACATTATTAACACAACAGGACACTCTAATGAGATGGTAATCTTTCCTAATCCCTCTCCCCTTGTCACCCTCAGGTTGTCTTTGTAGATGACGTCAATATGCCTGCGCGGGAGGTGTACGGGGCTCAGCCGCCCATCGAGCTGCTGAGGCAGTGGTTGGATCACTGGAATTGGTACGACCTGAAAGACTGCTCGATGATTAAACTAGTGGACGTTCAGATCATGTGTGCGATGGGACCTCCAGGTACACGTTCTAAGTTGGTGCTTATCAAGATTGAACATCACTCTGGCCATATCTCAAGAGAGAGCTGGAGAAAGAGACACCCAAGGGGACGATCTGAGGTGCAGGGCTCCGTGTCTATACTTCCTGTGTGTACATGCTGTGACCTGGGGGAGTGTTCCCCAATGGTCAGCGCCGCAGAGTGGGCTGCCCTGGTGGGGGCCGTTCTCCCACCAACTCTTCCGAAGCCCTTTCCTCCCATCGTATGAGACTTGGCCCCCATTTCCTGTCCTTGCCTCCGCGCAGCCCGTGTCTGTTTCGTTCACTGAAGTTTCAACTGTACAGTTTCATATGAAACATCCTTGCTTCAGAGACCACTTCCCTCTCCCCACCTTGCCCCATGCCCGTGAGGCCCTGGATTAGACAGGCAGCGGAGAGGGATTTAAGTAGGAAGTGGCCAAAGTTAATTCCTAGAGACCCTTGACATTTTCCGAGAGAAATGGATAGCCCCGTGGGAATCTCCGTGCGGAGGAATGTCATATGCTGGCATATCCACAATGGCTCAGCTCACCTACCCGGACAGCTTTCACTGTTCTTCTCCTGACTCTGGTATTGTGTTTTCAAAATTCCCTTTCTCAGTGTACCGCTTCTTCTGTCCATCTCCCTGGTTTTGCCTCTGAACCCTCTGACCTGTAGTGTGGACAGTTTGCTGAGTCAGTAATTGCTCTCAGCAC